CCTATAATGTTAAAAAATGGCCTTTGGCTATATTACTTATTCCTCTCATCTAAAGGTAGAAAGATAGAAGGAAAAGAAAAGCCCCGAAGCTTCCTTTTTTCGCTCTCACATCATTAAAGCTTCAATAACTCTTCAATTAGATTTCCCTGGTTGCTGCCATTGTTTCAGATTGATAGATGTCCTTGGTTCAACCTCAGTAGGACACCATGTTGCTACTGAGGCATGCTGTCAGAACCAATTAATGGTGTAATATCACTGATAATCTAACCTGATCCTACTTATTGCTGAAAATAATATGTCAGCCCCAATTTAGAACATAGAAAACCCGTGAGCCAAAGAAATATGTCAGCATGCTATACTTCAGGTACTGTACTTTAAAAAGGTACACAACAATCCGTAAAAATATTACTGAAACATTCACCTAATTTTAGCAACATGAATATGAATGGCAAACATATGCAAGTAATAACAATAATTTCTTTTGTTGTAAATTATCAAAACAAAAAAATTTATGGAAAATGCATGAAAATAAAATATTGTTCAGCCATTTCTCCAGTTTCATCAGGTAATTTTATTTATTCTCTTTTTTTAAGGATTTATATATTTCTATTCAGTTTTGTTTCATGCTTTGAGAAACAGCTAGTTTTTATTTTATTATAACCTAAAAGAAAATATTTAATGCGTTTTATTCTATTGCTTCCTGAGCTAACAAGAGGCAGACTTTTATGGGGGAATTAATTTCAGCCTTTATTGTATTTTGGATAATTACGTTTTTGCCACTTGTTTAACACCTGCAGTTTTATATTTGGAAGCGTAATACAACTACAATACATTTCACAGGCTAATGAGCTCAAAAGGTTGAAATGTCTGTTCGCCTGCTCTGAAAGTGTTATTCCTGTACTCCATACATACACTAATATTAGCAATATGAGTTTGTTGTTCTAACGGCACAGAAAAAGTAAGACTGATAAAAAATAAAATATACAGTATTACGTATTTTACTGTTCACAATCAACAGTGCTATGGTATTAATGAAAATACTAATCAATAGTACCACCACAATATATAAAATAAATAAATAGCTATGCTTGCAAATTGATTTGTTTTTATTCTTTATTTAAAATGGAATTATACTCACTTCAGCTCAAGCAATACTGCATCCCCAAACTCCTCACCCATCCACTGACATCTTCAGGCAGCTTGGCTTCTGGGTTTCGATCGCCAGTTACTGTCATTGGCCAAGCGAGGTGCAATGTCACTCCAGTCAGATTCGGCATTGCCGAATTTGTACAGTAAACTGTGCATGCACAGTAAGTAACTTTAATGCTAAAGAGACAAAGCATGTCTCTTCTGCATTAAAGTTCCTGCCTGTTCACCCATCTTTAATTCTGTCCAAAAGTTCCATATTAGGGTTGACACAATGATCATATAAAAGTACATATGGCTGAAAATATAGTACAGGTACTAACACATACAATGGAAAGGATCTCCAAAGAATGCATGCAAGAAATCTATTAGTGGCAACAAGACTATCCATGTCTCAACTACAGCATTCTAGCTGGAGTCTTGATTCTGGATGATGTACTTTACTTAGGGAAAGGAGCAAAAACCCCCTAGCAGTATTGCCTAATACAGCTCAGTGTGCACCATGGGACAAAAAGTCCTAATTTATTTTAAACTGGTAATGGCTAATGGTGATGAGGAAGGAAAAGCAATGGGGGCTGATAGGGTTGGGGGTAGAGTGGTTAGGATTTGGAGATGGTCCATAGTTATTGGGAAAGCAGGAATATAGGGTAGAGGATAGAGGGGGAAGTAAGAAAAGGGTATGAAAAAAAATGAATCAAGACTTAACAGATTTGAGCAACCAGAGTTGCTCTGGTCAGGGTGGTTCTGTTGTCATAACATTCTCTATTCCAATTCAAGATGAGAGATTTATATCTTTCAGAAAATTGGAACTGGTATCTGTTAACCAGGTCTTCCAGAATTTTTATACTTAATGTTGCAGCAAGGAAGTAAGCAATTTCATTCCAATGGTTTTGTTGACTACAGTAGCCCATTGGGCGATGATGGGAGCTGTGGAGTGTTTCCATTTGTCTGGTATACACAGTCTAGCAGCATTTATTAGTAGAGAGTGTTTTTGGGAATGGGATAAAATGGAGAATGTATACAGCAGGATTGTCACCTAGGTTAATCCCTATAAGTGAACTAGTTTGATTTTATTTTGGCTAAAAAGCATGCTCTTCATCTCATCATGGAGCAATTTCAACTCTGCTACCTGTGACAACGTAATTGATTTTTTTTGTAAGTCAGCTCTAGTTTTCATCATTGTTCCAGAAAGGAGATAAGCTTGGCTGTTCTATCTCTGGAGCTATCCAAATTTTTATTAGGGTGCCTTAGATGACACACCGATTAGTGAGACAAATACTGTACAGTATGTGCTGTTACCCATATGGAAGAAAAATATATTTGAAAATATATTTTTAAAATATTCTTCCCAAATATATTGCCATATATTTGAAATGCTACAATTTTGGCCATATTCAATATATCTAAAAATAAAAAAAATATATATATAGACATATATATATATATATATATATATATATATATATATATATATATATATATATATATATATACACACACATACATATACACACACACATACACATACACACACACATACATATATACAGACATACATACACACACTGCATGTTGAAATGCTTTTTTATTACGAAATATATAAAAAATATATTTTTATAAATACATTTCAAATGTACTGTATGTCTTTAAAAATACAAAGGTACATTTTTGGAATGCATTTACAAATATATGTAAAAATATATGTTAAAATTCCTTTTTTATGTTAAAAAAAAATCTGGAGAATATATTTTAAAAAATATATATTTAAAAAATATTTTTTTAAAATATATTCTTCATATTTTTTTAACATATGTCCAACATTTGGGCTGAACTGAGGGCCCATTCGCTCCTATCTGACCTTTTTTGTTAACATAGCTGCACTATTTCTTGGATTAAGGATGCAGATCTTCACAAATTTTCAATCCCTCTACCACCAAATGCATATTTTTTGATAACATGCAACATTTTCTAAGGAACTGCAAAACTCCGGTGACACTCTGCTATCATGGAACTTACTTTAAAAACAAGCACCTTATGGTAATATGACAGCTCTCTCTGTTAACATGTAGTACTTTCTGGTGTCATAAATCTTTATCTGTGTCTCATTAGCCTTATATTCTTACAGTCTATTGCCATTTTAAGTAACCATATAGCAAGGGAGCTGTTGACCATAAACCTTTATTTATTTTGATTAATTAAAATAAAATCATATATATATATATATATATATATATATATATATATATATATACACACACACACATATATATATATATATATATATATATATACATACACATATATATATATATATATACATACACACACACAACACCACGGACTTGCTTGTAGTAAAATCCCAAGTGAACTTGCATTGTTACATTTTTAATATATATTTTATGTTTTTTTAGCTAAATAAATACTACCAAAAAAAACTAAGCAGGCTTGAACACCTGGAATGCAGGTTTTTATCCCCAAGGCAAGGGAACAGCGAGCATGCTGCCCTCCTCCTATGCAGATACCAACCCTCCTGCTCTTCAGCATTGGGTGGTTGCTTTGAAAAAGTTTTATCCAAAAATGGGGGTCCTCCAAAAAGTCTTTACTGCACAAACCCATAAGGAACTGTATGGGTGCACTGCAGCGGAAGCACTGTAGATCTAAACATGAATTAAGATTAAGTCAGCACATCAATAGTATTAAGCAAAAAAACATGATTTACTTAAAGAGCATTCTGTCAACAACATTTTGGGCCACATAGGGGCCTCTTTATCTGGGTGATTATTTTGATAAAGGGGTCTCTATGTGACCCTGAAAACACTATTGGTAGACTGCCTGCCATTATATAAAAGTTTTTTACTTAGTACGTTTGGTGTGCTGGTTTCATCTTCATTCATCCCCAAAGCACCCTAGCCTACAGCTGATGAGCACCGGACTTCTTGGCACTGGTGGTAACCAGGAAAGGGTACCAGTAGGAGGGGGTGCTTATATTCTACATACCTACTCCTCATGGGGAGCAAGTAGGTGGTCACCCCCTACCTGGTGAACTGTTTTAAGGTGTTCCTCAGACACCTAACCTGCTCACCATGCAACTGAGTAAGGACATTTGATCATGCAAGAATCATCAGCTGTCTGCATAATAAATAAAGTAAATGTTTGCAGAAACTGATGGGTGGATTCTATTGAATTGAAAATGAATATTTTGGGAAAACATTCATTAGGGAATTGATAAAGGAATCTCACAGTAGTAAAGTACCATCAACAGAAGATTTTATGATATTAGGGGACAGAAGGATTATCCATCAAATCTTAACCAGTATAAAGTGTATTCTATGGATGTATAGTATTTTAGCTACTAAAAACTTTTAGTAGAAGAAGCCATTTGTATTAACAACTTGCCCTCCAGTGGATTTACCCCCCTTCCTGACAGGGCCATTTTTTTGCAATGCAGTGCTGCGTTATTTTAGCTGACAATTGTGCGGTCATACAATGCTGCCAGCAAATTAAATTTATGTTCTTTTTTTCCCACAAATAGAGCTTTCTTTTGGTGGTATTTGATCGCCTCTGTGTTTTTGATTTTTTTGCGCTATAAACACAAAATGACTGACAATTTTGAAAAAACAATAATTTTGACTTTTTGCTATGAAACATTCAGTAGGAAAATTTTAAAAATCAAATTTCGTCATAAATTTAGGCCAAAATTTATGCTGCTACATGTCTTTGCTAAAACTATCACAATATATGTATGTAAATTAATTGGTTTACGTGAAAGTTATTGCGTCTACAAATGGCAATATATATACTGGGATTTTTTTTTATACTAGTAATAGCGGCGAACAGCGACTTATAGCTGGCCTGCGGGACTGTGGCGGGCATTCTGACACTGGGGGGAACTAACTGCCACTGGCATCCCAATGACACTAATACAGTGATCAGTGCTAATAAAAAGCACTGAGACTGTACTAATGACACTAGGCAGGAGGGGGTTAACATCTGGGGTGATCAAAGGGTTAACTGTGTGCTGTTTTACATGTCTTGTGTGTGTATTAATATGTAAACATGCTACCCTGTATTTCTCTGCTGTGCAGAGAAGTACACAGCAGCGTGTTACTTTTGGTAGGAGAGAGACCTGTGTTGTTTACATGGTACAAGCGGGGAATCTCCAGCCGGGACACAGTGATTGACATCTATAGCCACCAATGGCAGCATGATTAGGGCAGCGCACATGCCTCCTACCCAACAATGAAAAATCATGAATATATACGTATGCCGCCCTGCAGCAGTAGTTCTGCTATAGGGTGACAGGGAAGCAGTTTTAAACAAATAGCCCAAGACTCCCTATTCATTTTACCTCCCTAGCGGTATGATTATGTCAGTATTTCTGTGCTCAAAGCGGTACATTTTTTTGCATGGAAATATGTCGTTTTTTTATTATAGGTCTGTAATTTTTACGAATAACTCACTGAAATCTGTCTGAACAAGAGTCTAGTAAACATCCTGGGTATGATAAAATTTGAAACACAAAATCATAAACTATAATTTAATAATCATAAAAAATAATATAATAATACATTTAATTCAATAATATAATCAAACCAAAAACACTGAAATTTGAAATATAGCGCCAAGTTCGCACATCACTGAGCAAAGTCACAAAATCGTTTTCAGTGTCTGATGACAAATTTCCCCACGAATCATTATCACTCAATTCTGCAAGTGGTTCTGATTTACTATCGCTGTTCTCTATCTGGTCTAAAACCGCTTTTGACCTAAAGGGACGCTTTTTGGACGCCATGGTCATTTCTCAGTTTCAAGGCAGAAAGAACAGTAAAAATGCAGGCAGGGCACAGGACAAAGCACTAGGGACAAAATGTATGTGAAATGCAGTAATGTTTTACTATGTGATTTTTGTGTATTTCGTGAATTTTAAAAATTTTGAAATTTCCCACCGGTCCTGGCCCTCGTATGTCCCGACGCTCGCAGGGACCGGAACCCGGATGCCGGCATCAGCCGGAGGAGATGGCCGAGGGCGCTGCAGCGGGGACATTGCGGGAGTGAAGGATAAGGTAAGTGAAACAGGGGATCCCAGAGCAACGCTGCATGGTAATCCCGAGTGTAGCTCGGGGTTACCGCTTTGGCACTGATAATTAACCCCAAGCTACACTCGGGAATACCGGGGGGTTAATGTAAGATTTTGTTTTCCCTTGTACTGCTGAAACAGCTTTTGAAATGTATGTGCTGGGCATTACACTGGCATAAAGGAAGGCCCGGAGTAGGAAGAAAGAAGACCTGAATGAAGGTCCAGCATTACAGGGGTTAAAGGGGGTTGGAAGAGGCAGAGTTCCATTAGCATAAGGGGGAGTCTAAATAGCTTTAAGGAAGGAGTGGGGTTAGCTACGAGGGGTGGTCTTACAGGGTGTGGCAGGGTTTTTTTTTGCAGTCTGGAGAGAGTTTTCACAGGGCAAACTTCCCTCCCGCCTACCCGTTGTTTTATGGTTTGTCTTGGTGTTGGTTGTGCCATATTGGTGCTGGGGGACGTCTGGAGGGGTGCAAGGTCCTCATTGGTTAATGTGGGCACAAGAAAAGGCACTTTGTAGGAACCTGTCTGAGGTACGGCTTCCAGTTTTTGTGATGGGGGTATCTGTGGTGGTGTCTCCGAGTCAGTGATGTTGCGGCTGGAGGCCTAGTTAAGCAGGACGCAAGAATTCTTTTTCTTGATGCCTATTGGGACCTTGCAAAAAACGTGTGTTTGTGCTGTGTTTTCTGTTATTTAAAATGTTATTGATGGCTGTAATAAAAGGCAGTTTTTTTGGGCTATTAACTCCATTTTGTTGTCAATGTGGATACTTAGGTTAAGGATGGGGGTAGGCATTGGTTTAGTGCAGTGTTTCTCAACTCCAGTCCTCATGGACCCCCAACAGGTCATGTTTTCAGGATTTCCCTCAGATGAAACAGCTGTGGTAATTACTAAGGCAGTGAAACTGATCAAATCACCTGTGCAAAATAATGGAAATCCTGAAAACATGACCTGTTGGGGTCCATGAGGACTGGAGTTGAGAAACACTGATTTAGTGGGACTTTACAAGCCATCTTTAGTCCCCTGGTCAAGGAATAAAAATTTGTTTTATCTATTTAAAAAATGGAGGTATATCTAATGGCAAAAACTTTTTTTTTAATTTTAGATAGAATATAGAGTATTAAAACCACTGTCACTTTTATATTTATCTGTGTCTCATTAGAGAGATTTCCTTTCACTTTGTTTTCTGTCAACTTAATCCAATGTGAAAAATATCCTCTTTTTAGACAGTTGTCACAAAATCAAGGGTCCACGTTTGAAGATTTCTCCTCTATTCGTGTTCTGGTGACAATTCAGAATCACTTCAATCACTTATTTCTGGTGACAATAGTGATCGGGACACTCAGAGAGAGTGAATCTCCCTAACAGGGACACAAACAGCAATTAAAAAACTGAAATTGGTCCTAACCTCTCACCACTTTAGTTTTACTTTAAAGCACATCTCCAGGTTATAGCTTTGATGAAAAACATGCCTAGTCTAAAATTATTAATTCAGTTCAGTAGTATTAGCACCTTGTGTTGTGTGCAAAGATTTGTGTTATTCTTTATTGTTATTATACAGGATTTATATAGTGCCAACAGTTTGCTCAGCGCTTTACAATATAACGGGAGACAGTACAGTTCAATAAAATACTGTCCTTCTGCAGCTCTTTGTACCCTAGGTCAAGGCTATAAATGGGGCTTGATTTAACACCTAGATAGTTAATTGTCAAATTCTAGATCTTCAGTGCGCAGTTCTGGTATTTGACAGTTGAAGGCATCTCCTCATTGACAAAAATGATTGCTTTCAAGGCTAACATACGCATCTATAGACACCATAACTTTTTAAGGTCAGGTTCACATTAAAGCAGTATTAAACCCAAAACCAAAAGTGTAGTATTTTGCAGCTTGCCAATCCTTAGATGTGGTGGCTGCAATAGTTTTCTTTATTATGCTTTTTCCCTTTGTTTTCACTGATGATCTGGCCAGTAACACACCTCCTCTATTAGAGTGCCACCACTCTGGATGAAGGAGCACATGAGTACCTTTGGATAGCAGCATTGTCAGTCTGGGGGGAGGGGAGTGTTAGATGTACTAACAGATATAGATACACTAACAAACTGCAACCAAGCTGCAGCTCACACTGCAATTACATAAGCGGTTACAGCAACAGTTTTTTGTTTTCTCTTGGGATAAAGGTTTTACAGGAATAAATGAAAGCTGATCATTCGATACATTTGCAAGAGCTTATTCTGTTGAAAAAAAAACAATTACTGGCTGCGATACCAGATGAAAATAAAGGAAAGAAAGTCTGGAAAAGAAAACACATGTAGCAATCATATTTAAGAACTGGTAAGCTGCAACAGAATAAATGTTTGCTTTAGGCTTTAATAGCACTTTAACCACTTTCCCGCCACCCTATAGCAGATATACTGCTACAGGGAGGCAGGGGTGTGCAAAATCACATATATATATATATATATATATATATATATATATATACATACATACATACATACATGATTTTGCATTCCAGTGTAGGGGGTACGTGCACTGCCTACCCGCGCCACTATTCGCAACTTCAGCTGTCAATCCACAGGTCTCAGCCGGTGATTACTTGCTGGCACCCGGAGATCGCCAAGTATTACCGACGGGGGGAGAGAACTATATGGAATACAGTCCTCTCCCCTTTCAGCTCCTGCACACTGCTTTGTATGGCTCTGCATAGCAGAGCCATACAAAGCAGTGTGCTTACAGTTGAAAGCACACAGAGCTTACAGTAAAACAGCACACAGTTAACCCTTTGATCACCCCACATGTTAACCTCTTCCTGCCCTGTGCCATTAGTACAGTGTCAGTGCTTTTTTTAGCAGTGATCACTGTACTGGTGTCACTGAGGATGTCAGTGACACCAAGTCAGTTCCCCCCAGTGTCAGAATGCCCACTGCAGTCCCGCAGTCCCACTAGAAGTCTCCAATCGCCACCATTACTAGTAAGAAAAAAATCCCAGTATATATACCCGCCATTTGTAAATGCTATAACTTTCACGTAAACCAATTAATTTACATGTATTGGGATTTTTTTTAGCAAAGTTATGTAGCAGAATACATTTTGGCCTAAATTTGACAAAATTAGATTTTTTAATTTTTTTTTACTGGACATGTTTAACCACTTCAATACTGGGCACTTTTACCCCCTTCCGCCCCCTTTGAATGACAATTGCACGCTCATGCAACACTGTACCCAAACTACAATTTTATCATTTTGTTCACACAACTAGAACTTTCTTTACAGAAGGAACACATGTTTAGCGGTTGAAACATTGTATCTATTAGTTTACATTTAGGATACAGATGTTTCAACCACTGTACATGTGAAGAAGTTGTGAGAGAACTGTCAGAAATAGAGGAACTCTGCACATACACTTTTTGCCGGCTTGGAATTATTCTTCTTTTCATCCTACTTCTTCTTCTTCATTCATCCTCAGAAGAAGAGGATGAGGATGAGGATGAAGAAGAAGAAGAAGAAGAAGAAGAAGAAGAAGAAGAATAGGATGAAAAGAAGAATAATTCCAAGCCGGCAAAAAGTGTATGTGCAGAGTTCCTCTATTTCTGACAGTTCTCTCTCACAGCTTCTTCACATGTACAGCGGTTGAAACATCTGTATCCTAAATGGAAACTAATAGATACAATTTGTATCTATTTAGTTTCCATTTAGGATACAGATATTTCAACCGCTGTACATGTGAAGAAGCTGTGAGAGAACTGTCAGAAATAGAGGAACTCTGCACATACACTTTTTGCCGGCTTGGAATTATTCTTCTTTTCTTCTTCTTCTTCTTCCTCATCCTCATCCTCATCCTCTTCTTCTGAGGATGAGGATGAAGAAGAAGAAGAAGAAGAAGTAGGATGAAAAGAAGAATAATTCCAAGCCGGCTATGTGCAGAGTTCCTCTATTCTGCAGATACACTTAGAGGAGCTCTGCAGATACACTTAGAGGAGCTCTGCACATACACTTTTTTGCCGGCTTGGAATTAATCTTATTTTTCATCCTACTTCTTCTTCTTCTTCTTCTTCTTCTTCATCCTCATCCTCAGAAGAAGAAGAGGATGAGGATGAGGATGAAGAAGAAGAAGAAGAATAAGTAGGATGAAAATAAGAATAATTCCAAGCCGGCAAAAAGTGTATGTGCAGAGCTCCTCTAAGTGTATCTGCAGAGCTCCTCTAAGTGTATCTGCAGAATAGAGGAACTCTGCACATACACTTTTTGCCGGAAACCGCTGTATGGAGTGAATGTCCCAGAACTGTCAGAAATAGACTATTTAATGACAGTTCTGGGACATTCACTGCATACAGCTGTTTTTAAACCGCGGGAACCGCTGTATGGAGGGAATGTCATGGAACTGTCAGAAAATAGACTATTAATGACAGTTTCTGTCCCACAACTGTCATTAATAGTCTATTTCTGACAGTTCCATGACATTCCCTCCATACAGCGGTTAAAACAGCTGTATGGAGTGAATGTCCCAGATCTATCAGAAATAGACTATTTATGACAGTTCTGGGACATTCACTGCATACAGCTGTTTAAACCGCTGTATGGAGGGAATGTCATGGAACTGTCAGAAATAGACTATTAATGACAGTTCTGGGACTGTCCTTCAATGCAGCGGTTGAAACATTGTATGTATTTTGTTTCCATAAATGGATCCATTTATGGAAACAAATACATACAATGTTTCAACCGCTGCATGGAAGGACAGTCCCACAACTGTCATTAATAGTCTATTTCTGACAGTTCCATGACATTCCCTCCATACAGCGGTTAAAACAGCTGTATGGAGTGAATGTCCCAGATCTATCAGAAATAGACTATTTATGACAGTTCTGGGACATTCACTGCATACAGCTGTTTTAAACCGCTGTATGGAGGGAATGTCATGGAACTGTCAGAAATAGACTATTAATGACAGTTTCTGGGACTGTCCTTCCATGCAGCGGTTGAAACATTGTATGTATTTGTTTCCATAAATGGATCCCATCCATTTATGGAAACAAATACATACAATGTTTCAACCGCTGCATGGAAGGACAGTCCCAGAACTGTCATTAATAGTCTATTTCTGACAGTTCCATGACATTCCCTCCATACAGCGGTTAAAACAGCTGTATGGAGTGAATGTCCCAGATCTATCAGAAATAGACTATTTATGACAGTTCTGGGACATTCACTGCATACAGCTGTTTTAAAAACCGCTGTATGGAGGGAATGTCATGGAACTGTCAGAAATAGACTATTAATGACAGTTCTGGGACTGTCCTTCATGCAGCGGTTGAAACATTGTATGTATTTGTTTCCATAAATGGATCCATTTATGGAAACAAATACATACAATGTTTCAACCGCTGCATGGAAGGACAGTCCCAGAACTGTCATTAATAGTCTATTTCTGACAGTTCCATGACATTCCCTCCATACAGCGGTTTAAAACAGCTGTATGGAGTGAATGTCCCAGATCTATCAGAAATAGACTATTTATGACAGTTCTGGGACATTCACTGCATACAGCTCCTTTTTTAACCGCTGTATGGAGGGAATGTCATGGAACTGTCAGAAATAGACTATTAATGACAGTTCTGGGACTGTCCTTCTTCATGCAGCGGTTGAAACATTGTATGTATTTGTTTTCCATAAATGGATCCATTTATGGAAACAAATACATACAATGTTTCAACCGCTGCATGGAAGGACAGTCCCAGAACTGTCATTAATAGTCTATTTCTGACAGTTCTATGACATCCCTCCCTCCATACAGCGGTTGAAACCGCTGTATGGAGTGAATGTCCCAGAACTGTCAGAAATAGACAGAAACTGTCACAGAACTGTCCTTCTTCTCATCCTTCTCCTTCTTCTTCTCATCCTTCTTCTCATCCTTCTTCTCATCCTTCTCTTCTTCTTCTCATCCTTCTCCTTCTTCTCCTTCTCCTTCTCCTTCTCTCATCCTTCCTTCTCATCTTCTCCTTCTTCTTCTCCTTCTCCTTCTCCTTCTTCTCATCCTTCTCTTCTTCTCCTTCTTCTCATCCTTCCTTCTTCTCTCCTTCTCCTTCTCTCCTTCTCATCCTTCTCCTTCTTCTCATCCTTCTCTTCTTCTCATCTTCTCATCTTCTCTCCTTCTCTTCTCTCATCCTTCTCCTTCTCCTTCTCATCCTTCTCTCTTCTTCTCATCCTTCTCCTTCTTCTCATCCTTCTCCTTCTTCTCATCCTTCTCCTTTCTCCTTCTCTCTTCTCCTTCTTCTCTCCTTCTCCTTCTTCTCATCCTTCTCCTTCTTCTCATCCTTCTCTTCTTCTCATCCTTCTCCTTCCTTCTCCTTCTTCTCTCTTCTCCTTCTTCTCTTCTCCTTCTCTCTCATCCTTCTCCTTCTTCTCATCCTTCTTCTTCTTCTTCTCATCCTTCCTTCTTCTCATCCTTCTCCTTCTTCTCATCCTTCTCCTTCTTCTCATCCTTCTCCTCTCTCCTCTCTTCTCATCCTTCTCCTTCTTCTCATCCTTCTTCTTCATCCTTCTCCTTCTCCTTCTCCTTCTCCTTCTCCTTCTTCTCTCTTCTCTCCTTCTTCTCTCCTTCTTCTCATCTTCTCCTTCTTCTCATCCTTCTTCTTCTTCTCTTCTTCTCTCTCCTTCTTCTTCTCCTTCTTCTCATCCTTCTCTTCTTCTCATCCTCTCTCCTTCTTCTCATCCTTCCTTCTCCTTCTTCTCATCCTTCTCCTTCTTCTCATCCTTCTCCTTCTTCTCATCCTTCTCCTTCTTCTCATCCCTTCTCCTTCTTCTCATCCTTCTCCTTCTCCTTCTTCTCTTCCTTCTCCTTCTTATCATCCTTCTCTTCTTCTTCTTCTCATCCTTCTCTCTTCTTCTTCCTTCTTCTTCTCCTCCTTCTTCTTCTCATCTTTCTTCTTCTCATCCTTCCTTCTTCTCATCCTTCTTCTCATCCTTCTTCTTCATCCTTTCATCCTTCTTCTTCTCTCCTTCTCTTCTTCCTCTCTCCTTCTTCTTCTCATCCTTCTCCTTCTCTCTTCTTCTCATCCTTCTCCTTCTTCTCATCCTTCTCCTTCTCCTTCTTCTTCATCCTTCTCCTTCTTCTCATCCTTCTCTTCTCATCCTTCTCCTTCTCATCCTTCTCCTTCTCATCCTTCTCCTTCTTCTCATCCTTCTCCTTCTTCTCATCCTTCTCCTTCTCCTTCTTCTCATCCTTCTCTTCTTCTTCCTCTCTTCTTCTCATCCTTCTCCTCTCCTTCTTCTCATCCTTCTCTTCTTCTTCTCATCCTTCTCCTTCTTCTCATCCTTCTCCTTCTCCTTCTCTTCTCATCTCTCTCTCCTTCTCCTCCTCATCTTTTTCTTCTCATCCTTCTCCTTCTCCTTCTTCTCATCCTTCTCTTCTTCTCATCCTTCTCCTCCTTCTTCTCATCCTTCTCCTTCTTCTCATCCTTCTCCTTCTTCTTCTCATCCTTCTCCTTCTCCTTCTCTTCTCCTTCTTCCTTCCTTCTTATCATCCTTCTCCTTCTCATCTTCTCTTCTTTCATCTCTCCTTCTCTCATCCCTTCTTCTCATCTCTTCTCTTCTTCTTCTCTTCTCATCCTTCTTCTTCTTCTTCTTCTTCTCATCCTTCTTCTTCTCATCTTCTCTCTTCTTCTCTCTCTTCTCTTCTTCTCATCCTTCTTCTTCTCCTTCTCATCCTTCTCCTTCTTCTCATCCTTCTCCTCTCTCCTTCTTCTCTCCTCTCTCCTTATTCTCAG